GTTGGGATAAAGAGAGAAAGAAAAAGAGAGCAGGGGGGGGAATTGTCAGGAGTTCAGATGGAAACGGGGGAATGCGACAGAGCCTTTTTCCATGAGTGCTTGCTCAAGGCACTAAGCGGGAGGGGCCACAGGGGAGCAGGATCAGTCAAAGTGTCCCCTGCAGTGGCATGTCCCCTCGGGCAGTGTCCTTCAATAATCCTGGCCTGCCCTGTGTGGAGTTGGGGTGCCCCACGTAGACACAAGGCCGGGGCGTAAATGCTCGCACATTGACAGGGGGGCAATCAGTCAGTCAGAAAGTCAATGCCACACTCCTTTGTAACATGGAACTGAAGCTACAAAAGGCCCTGAAGAGTATGTTACGTAAATAAAAGATTCTCTTTCTTGGCATGGACATGGCCATATGTGCAAATCTTTGTTTCCTTTGTAGTTCACCAGAATCTTTATTTCAGCACAGACAAAAAACTTCCACTTCCCCTGCAGGTCCTCTGCCCTCTCCAGCTCACCGTCCACACAGATGCCAGTAAGATCCTGCTGGACTCAAGTTCCACTCTCCCATTGCGTAAAAAAAGCCCCCAACACATTGCTGCGGTGTCACAGGACGAGTGAATGACGCTGGCCGCTGACGCGAGTGCGCTGCTCTTTCGGCTGGGTATCGGGTTGCCATCTTTGGCCCACTTCTGGCCTCTTGGAGAGTCACCTGTCCTGGCAGAAGGAATGCTGTGACTGACGTGCCTAGTGACGCCAGCATTGACTCCAGCAGCAGCTCTGCATAGCGTGTTAGGTGTCTGCGCAAGCTCACACTGGGACTGCTTGTGCATATGTGAGTGAGGATTGCAAGGGGCTATGTATCCGTGCGTGTAAATATGCATGCAGTGTGCAGTGCATATTTGTGTGTGTCTCCTCTGAGGTTGTTTTGACACTGGACACCTGCTGTCTGATGATAAAAGAGCGTGTGAGGCATTGGTGATCCCTCCGTGCCAATCCAAAATGGTCCAAACCTTACAGACTAAACAGATCCTCAGCGTCCTGTCTATCTGTCCTTCCATTCTCTACGATTTCTCAGCCCTCTTCAGTATGAGCTGAGCCAAAGTTTGTGATAAAGAATAGAGGGGATTTGGCACAGGGAGGAGGAGAAGTGGTGGCTTCTTTAGCCAACCCTTGAGCTCCCGGCCCTGGGTATGTCTCTACTTTCGAGTTAACTGTTTTCCCCATGTGCTTCACAGGGGACACTGCTCAGAGGTAAATGAACCTCCCTCTTTCTTTTTCCTTCTCTTCTTCTTATGGACAGTCCAACAGGCAGTGGCCATCAGCAACAGCAAAAGACCCATGACAAGTAACACCACTGACACCACTTTAGTCTGAGGCAGGTCATTGTAGGTGTATGTCACCCCCGTTCCTGCTACACCAATGACCAAAGAGATGATTCCAAAGGGAAAAATGCAGCGGTACCAGGACTTCTCCATGCCTCCAGTGGCCTGGGACAGACGCTCCAGAGAGGAGAGCACGTCAGGGACTTTGGGGCCACCAGCCTCCAGGGCCTGACCCTCCTGCCCCGAGCTGGTCTGGGGCTGAGGTTGGCATGCCAGGTGGCCTGTTGTGCAGCCCATCCTGATGGTGTGGGCTGATGGATCCCGAACCCAGGCTGCACCGCTGGCCTCTTGGATCACGTTCGTAGTCAGCTCTGGCCTAGAGAAACAGAGAGAGACAGACAAAGGCAGAGAAAGAGAGAAAGGAGAAGGAGGTCTATATGAGACCGGAGAAATGACTGGAGCAGGAATGGCTGGAGTGTGTCAGATGAAGGCTTCTAAGTCAGCGCTGAAATCCACTCACACTTTCCCCTTCTCTCCCTCCCTCTCTGGCTGTTTCTCTGTACACTGTCTGCTGGCTCTCTGGCAGCACATTGTACACTCTGCTGAACGTAGTGATGGGGGATATATAAAGGACCAGAAGGGGAGGAGCAAGGGAGGAAAAATGGGGAAGTCCAAGTGCTCTGATTGGTCTCATTTTGTGTGACGTCAAACATTGAAACTGGGAGAATAGGGGTTGATGTAGCACAGGAAGGGGGAGGGGAGCAGAGTTAACTGCTCCCTCTTGCCTTCATCTCCCCATCACTGCCTCCCAATTGCAGTCTTTTTTGTCATGGTTGCTGTTGTTTTTTTGTTTTCCTGCAATATAAAAGCCCCCCCCTGGATAATCAACGAACCTGCTGCTGTCTAGAAATCAGAGGAGAGAAGGGAATCCCTCAGTATATCAGATTGGAAAGCTTCTTTCTCCATACTCATCCCACACGGCAACAGCAGATGTGTTGCCTCCATACGGCTATTACACAGTAATAGTGCTACCATTGCATCTCAACAGATATTGCGTGGACATCAACATAAAACAGAGACCCTACGGCCACCCACACAGCGCATGTAGACACCTGAAGACACTGATTTGTAGGACGACATTCATTCTATAATGAAAGTGTAAGTACACTAATGAGCATGTCCACATGTGACACTCAAACAGCCCCCACTCATTTCCCACCCACATACACTGCTGCTGCCAGTCCTTTCTGAATGAAAAGCAACCTAGTAGTAATTAATCCCCCTGTATGATCGAAGAAAATCAATCAAGAAAGCTCTCTCTCCTAAGCTCGCTAATCTTACTCCCCCAGATCGGAAAAGCCATGTTAGGAAGGATAAAAGTGTGTGCACAGCTGAATGTCTATGTTTTTTTATTTTCAGGCATTACTGAATTTACTATGGCAACATATTATTTTCTTTTTCTTCTTTCCACGCTTTTTTGAAAATTGAAAGCTGTGAACTTAATATTTATAGTAGAAATTTTGGAGTTTCAATGTGACATTACGTACAATTGTAGGGAAAGCAAACTGAGGTTACAAGCGTATTTAAGGTTGAACATGTGTAATGAGACAACAGGCCTCTTTGATACACATGAAAGTTTTAGCCCCTGAAAAGATTTAGACCATGGTCCATGACATATTGGGTGTCAAAAGAGCAAAGATGTAGGTGATGGACAACACAGCAACCAGTAAGTTTTGATTATGGGTTTTAAAAGCATTTCTATGTATTTATAAAACACCTGCATGACTTCAGCTTAGCAACAGGTTTTTCCCTCATAATTAAATGAAAGGACTGTTGCTCTTTAAAGCCCACAAGGCACACATTATCAGATTATGAGATAACTAATGCTCTCATATAAATGCTTAACATGCCTCTGTCTGCAGAGGACAACTGTATTCTTTGCCTTTACAGAAAAGACAACTGGATAGAGGGAGTTGTCTTTAGACCGGATGAATGGTGGAGAAAAATCAAACAATAAACCCTACTGTAGCCTAACTGATGATCATACTGATTTAAGAATCTCTGCTGTAGCTCAATCGGTAACAGAACTGTAGATGAATAAAAGAGGAGTGAAAGAGGGAAAGGGAGGAATGTGTTTGCGAGGGCTTGGGTGCAAGAGAAAAGAGATGCTCAAGAGCAATAAGCATTTGAAGGAGAGAAGTGGATTCTTGGTAGCACTGTTCGGTTTCTGTGGATTTGTACTTGGACTCCAGTGTTCGAGTGAACTAAGGCTAAAGACAAAGAGTGTAAATGAAAAGGGTGAAAAAAGTGAACAAGTAGGAAGGAATGTGTATGACAAAGAAGAGGCTATTCAACACTGTCGCTCTCTGTGTGAGAATGTGTGTGTGACATACAGCAGTGCTGACATGGGAAAGAGAATGAAGCTTCTTCCGTGGAAAGTAAAATTTCTTTGGATCTTCCATTATGTGACAAAAAGAGGCGTGAGAAATATGGGACAAAGGCGTGAGACATGGGTAACCTGGGCAGGGCCGGGCCATGCTGGTGGGAGTGGAAAAGGTCCATTGGTGACAGCCAGAACCAGGCAGCAGCTGATGTATGCAGGTCAGAGGAAGGCTGAGTTGCGTAGGCGCCACTCCCACTGGGCCCTTTGTGTAGTGTTGACGTTATCTCAAAGATGCATCCTTGCCTCCTCCTTTACTCCTTTCACACAGACTGATCCAAGACTGTATGGGCAGACCAGAAGCCTGCAGCACGTTGCTACAGTCCCATACAGATGACTTGGCTTAAGTCCATGAGTGGTGAGAAACTGATGGTGTTGGAACAGAGGAAGCTTTGTGAACATGCTTTCATATGTCTCAGTTAAGTCAGGAGCAGTGGTTTGAATGAATGCGCTCCTGTTGTTTGAGATACAGGTAACAGACAATCTGAGGTTGAAATAGTCCTCTCCCTTTTATACTCTTCTTTTTATTCTTCTTCTATTCAGGGAACCAATCCATTTCCAGCTTGCAGCATACAGGGAGCCGGGCCCCCAAGTGCATTGTCTCTGTGACTCAGCCAGCTTTGGGTGTGCAAGTCCCCGTGGTTTGTGTGTACATGAGGGTTGGTGCAGCAGGGCTCAAACACCCACGTCCTGCTGTGTGAACCCAGCGCCACCTGTCGCCCAGTCTGGCACAGGCCGTGCCATCCACACGTCATCTGTGGGCACGAACCTTTTTGGCCTCTCCAAGCCCTCCTGCATCTCACATACACCCTCACATTACATTTGGGATGCGCAAAAACGTGATTACCAATTTTCACAGATCACGGAGACGCAGTATTGGCCCCATATGTGTTATCTATCATTCACTGTATGCCAGATTATAAAAGCCCAGCATAGATACAAACACATCATATGGAGAAATACTATAGTGAGAAAAATAAAAAAACTGACTCATTTTGATGCAATAGTAATAACTCAACAAGTGGTTAAGAATTAGTCATCTGCTAGTGAGTTCTGTCGTCACTTCTTTTGTGAGTTGGGTGCCACCTGCTGGAAGACTCCATTAGTGACTCCTGGGCAAGCTTTTCCATTACATATTACTCTAAGTATTACTTGTTATGTAGTAGAAATATAAAATGAAATATCATTAAAACATAATAATAGCATTAGAAAAAAACCTATGATGTTTAAAATATTTATGAGAAGACCAACTGAAATTACAGACCGTAAAACACATGCAAATGTGTTGCCATACAGATTTATGTCAACATTTTTAATTCGATGCTCTCCGATGAAAACCACGTCTCTCCAACATTGGCGACTTTGAATATTTCAGATAAATAGAAGGGTTACGTGTTTCTTTACGAGTTGAAATTTTCTTGCTCACAAAGATAAATAAACCATTTTAAAACCCACTAGATTGTCTGAAAAATGCTTTGTCACAAACCTGAAAACATTTTCATAGGACAGTGACAAAATTGTAAGTACAGCACTTCACAGTCAGAAACAACATTAACAAAGATGATAAACAATCACAATCTTAGGTTTCTTTCAGTCAGACTTTCAAGTTATTACTATCACAGCACACAAAAAACGGATTCTTCACAATAATGACTGGGATTTTGATTCACGGACAATATAATCTTGAGTTACCACTTTATTAAGAACACCTCTTTAGTCTTAAGCAATCCAATGTAATGGTCCTGCAATTAATATTATTTTTGTGAACTTCTTCTTCTTTAATTGATAGTGTCAGAGTGGTATGATCCAACTGGTATTGCACTGGACTGGATTATACTGAGAGGTGTTTCATTTCTCTTATGTATGCAAATGGTGTAGGATGGAGTACCTCATAAACTGGTAATTCAGTGTAATACTGTATGTTCTGTGTTCAATCAGGCTCAGAGTCCTGGACAATGGCAGGGAAACGCTCCCCTCCTTCACCCAGCAGAGAGTACATGTCTCTCAGCACACTGGCGTTGGGATGTCCAGGCCCAGGTGCTATAGATGAGAGCTGAGGGGACAGAGTGTCCAACAGAGCCTGTCACATAGAAGAAAAGACTGTCAGCACATTATTTCTTAGTAGTTAATGAGTACTACTCCACAGATTTGCACCATCAAGTGTGTGATGTACTTATAATTTATCAGCTGGTTGAAGAATATAGCCCGTACCTGCTCGAGGTTAATCTCCTGGTGCAGCAGTGCCACCTGCATCCTCAGCCTCTCCAGCTCTCGGAGGTCTGCCTCTGTTGTGTAGGTTACAGTGAGGGGCAGGGGTGCGATCATCCCATCTTCCCACACACCATTTGCCCCAGTTGGGCAAAGACAACCTCCCTCTGGCCTCCATCGATCCCATGCTTCCCACTCTAACGGAAAATACAGTTATTTTTAGACTGTGAGCGTGAGCAACCGTACCCTAAAACGTTTTTCTGCTCCGCTGCTTCAGCTTTAAATAGCTAGGCCCTTGCCTAGCCACGTCAGGATAGACAGCTTTAAAACCCCACCGTCACAGGGAAGGGGATCTGTCGAGGCCAAGGAAAGTACTGATCTGGCACTGAGGTTTCACTGCAGCTCTGTTTTCATTTTCCATATGCCAAGATGGAGAGGCCGCATTAGCTCGTTAGCACGCTACGTTCATCTCAATCATTTTTCAAATGCTGTTAAAATTCAATAAACGATAAATCCCTCTCTGGAAAATAAAGCGCTCGGAAATAAAATACTTACTGAATATTGGATGTGAGATGCTAGATTGGATGCATATAGTCAAAACATCAGAGGTGTGTGGACTAAGCAAGGAGTTACAAATGACTGGAAAATGTCTCTCACACTGGCTTTAGCAACATACTTTTGCTGCACTGGAGCTATGACTGGTAAACATAAACAAAACTCCCTGCTGAAGGTGACACGGTCATTTGAGTAATGCAAATGGAAATTCTCTGGGCATTCAGCTTCATTATAATTGTATCATTGGAGGTGATGGGAATTCTAACATTCTAACGTACTGTAGGTACTGAGTGAGTGATACCCTGACACCCAGACATGGTCATTCAAACACAGGGTCATGATATCTCCACCAATGTCCTCTTTATTATGCAATTCTGTGAGGTGGAATAAATCTTTTAAGTAATGTTTTTTTTCCTGCTCATGAAGACACGCTGACATGTAATTTGTTTAGGAGGAAATGCATAGTTTGAAAAGGTAGATTATGTGATGGTGAAACGGGATTCCTACCTTGTTTCACTTGGTCTGCAAAGTTCTGGAGCTCTGCTGCAGTCATTTGCAACCTTTCAAGTGTCGGGTAGGAGTCATGCTTGTTTTTCTTACCACCTGCATAGACAGAAATGATCATTTAAAAAAAAAACAAAACCTTCAGTTAAACTAACAAGCACTGTTACAGCAGAGGCAACTGGATTTCTTTTCTTTAATTTCACTATGTTAATTAGTTTCATGTTTGCAGTAACTGTTATTTTTACAATTAGAGAAAATCTTCAAATGCTCAGTGGGGGGGTCTCACAGTCACTTCCTGCCAACTCCCTGTGCAGTTTCTTCCCAAATTATCATCTTCTCACCCACACAATTGTGTCATCGATCTATTTAATTTCTCCACATTCCTCTGCTCCCAACTGTGTGTGTTTGCATGTGTTATTCACCCTGCTCTGTGGCTGTTTCTGGAGTCACCTTGGCCAGAAGCTCCATTGTCTGACAGTGCTGGATGAGGTCATACCCTTGGTGAGTCAGCCTGTCGACCAGAGCCCTGGTCTGATCTGGGCTGCCACACGGCCAATCCTTGGGGAACTAGAGGGATCAGAGGGACATGGTCAAGGACAAAAAACTGGATACCCAAGCCGTTTAGAGAAATAAAAGTATATCACTCAGATTTGTTCAGAGACATGCTAAATTGCTATAGCTGGGTATCACTAAGCATGGAATTCAAACCAATTATATTCTCAAGCTCAACATTACAGCATGGAAAACATGTCTGAGGCTTTCCAGCCCATTTTCATGGGCTCCACTAGGAAAAGGAAGGATACCGTTGCTCTCATTCTCTCCATGAAGTGACTCCTCCCTGCCACAGGTTTCCTTTGCAGAGCCATAACTTTGTCCCACAACCTAAAGAAAATGTGGAGAAAGAAACTTAGTACAAAAGCAAAACAGTGGATTAAAGTGTAGTATTTTCACAAAATGAACAGACTGATTTTGGTTACCTGTTTTGTTTGTTTCTTACAGATCTCCACTTTGTTGTCTGCTCTGAAGGTATCCTGCCATAAAACAAAGGCAAACTGAATTAACTCACCTCTTCCAACTGAGACCGACAAAGCATGGTTGTCCACTTATGTAAAAACATACCTGGTGTGTTGAAGCAAACTATAAGCTCCAGACTCATCTGTGTGTGAGAAAGGCACTGCGTTATTTGAAGAAGGTGTTGGGATAGCTGCAGCCTCTCCCAGGTTTTCAACACTCAGCATGCTGCTCTTAACAGTCTTTTTTTTAGAGCGATCAGGAGAGCCAGATGCTGAACCAGCCTGCTGCAATTTCCTAGTTGCCTGGTGATGCACAGCCGCAGCTGATGAGACAGGATGTTTCTGGATTGTGCCTCTATTATTTGTGGTTTTGGACTGTCTAGGATTGTTGCTAGTTGAAGGTCTTGCGCCTAGTGAGGAGGATAGTGAAGATCCAGGTTTTTTGTGCTCTTTTCTGTCAAGACTGGCAGATTTAGAGGTTGATCTGATGGTCAAATCACTTCCTTTAGATGGTGCAGATGACTGTGTTACACCTTTTGATGTGACAACTGAAGTGCCTGGTTCCTTTCGAGGTCCAGATTGCTTGTTTCTGTCTGGGTCTTTTTTAGATGCTCCCGAGCCAGTGCGGACCCACAGGGCTTTCTCCAGTACTCGCTCCAGCAATTCTATATCTTCCTTCTCCCCTGGTAAGGTATTTGTGTCTGAAGATAGCAGCATAGAAACAAGTGGTTACAGTTTAGTTATTTAACCTATGTTTAACCAGAAAGTATCTTTATATTTATTATCTCTTTTACAAGAGAGACCTGGCCATAATTGGAAGGATGGATAGTTAATATATAGTAATTTAAGAACATGCATTGTTAATTTATAACCTTCATGAATAGAACTATTAAATAGGACCCAAGGCATGAAAGAGAGAAGTGTTACTATTTAAAACAGGTACAGTCATAACATTATACATGACTGCTCTCATCTCCCTCTAATTGACTACATTAACCAAAGATGTGAAAATGATTTTTCTTGATACATGTTATTTTTTCTTTTTTTTTTTTAAAAATTACCTGTAGCAGCAGCATCTGCACCTTCAGATTCCTCAGAGTCCTTCTTGGGTTGTGGTGTTCTGTGGAAAAAAAAACCTCCATGTGACTACAGACTCAAATTAACCAAGAGGAGCATAATTAAGCAACTTTGAGCAACAGCAGTATATAATGTATAATAGAAAGTAACATATGCACAGCCTAGGTGTTCATTGTGGGTTTTTGATGCCAATACTGATATCAATATGTGAGAGCTTAAAAATCCAATGTTACAATATATAAATTGATACATATTTTTTAATATAAACAAAAAAGATGAAAAATTAAAAATTAAGTTGACAAAATAATCTTATCAGCGATCTCTGGTGGATATAGCTACTTGATGGTGACACAAACTTAGAGCTACAATGATTTATTGGTTAGTCATTGGAAACATCAGCAGCTATTTTGATAATTGATAAATTGTTAAAAGTCTTTTGTCAACAGAAATGCCCAAAATATGGTGGTTCCAGGCTTGCTGCTTTTCTCAATCTTACAATATAGTAAATCGAATATTTTTGGGCTGAGGACTGTTGGTCAGACAAAACAAGATATTTCAAATCAAATCATAAAGTACTCCAGGACAACATGATATTTTTTGAGTTTTCTGATGTTTTATAGACCAAACAATTAATCTATTAATTGAGAAAATAACTGGCAAATTTGCTGATAATAATAATCAGAATGGAATCATTTTTGAAAGCACCCTAGTTTACTTTTAGTGCCTAAAACTTTTGCACAGTACTGCAGAAAAATATTGGACAGTACAATGGGCCTTGCCAAAAACTTCATTTTAGATGTGGTTCTAGACAAATTTGTCTTTTTGTTTATTCATCTTGCACATGTCCACAGCTATCACTGCATTTGTCCCTGTGGTTTTCAGTGACGAAAGTGAAACGAGTTAGTGGTGGAAAAGGCACTGCTGGGATTCGAACCCAGGATCTCCTGTTTACTAGACAGGCGCTTTAACCAACTAAGCCACAGCGCCGGATGGGTGCCCTTACACGCAGATGTTCAAGTTATTATTTTCTTGGTGAGAGTTACGAATACTTTCAATGATTTGACAAGGACCCGCATACGATCAACATTACTTTTGATCGCCTTGACTTCAGTGCCTGTTTCAGAGTATATTAGCCCCAGTTTGCATGAAAGGTACAAGAGGCACAGACTGGGTCTAAGAAGACATAAGATCAAATATCAACACCGATTACATATTTTGCATGCACATATAAATACATTAACTTACATGAATAAGTCTTCTTTGATAAGAACATTGTTTGGTAATTGTAAAGTTAAAATGAGTTTATGTTCCTACGCAAAAGAGACACTAGTTTCACGAGTGAAAGCTGTGATAAAACGGAGGGGTTAATGAGATGTACAGTACTTACAAGGTCTGTAATATTTCTCTGTAGAGCTGAATACTGTCATTGATCTTCTCTTGTTCAGCTTTACATGACTTGATAGCTTGCTCAACCACGGACAGCACTGACATGCTTGTGTCTGGATTGTCTCTACTTTGACTTTATTTGTCTGCCGTGAAAACACGCAAGAAATGATTAACTGTTAAACTATCGATTGAAACACTGAATTAACACCAAATCGCTCAAAAGTGTGTGGAATATATCATTGTTTCATGTATTTCCATACGAACAGTTTAACGCGAGCTATTTCGTGCTGACCCGCGAAATCGAATTTAACGGATGCGGAAGTCACATTTCTTTCTTAGTGCCAGCAGAGTCAACGTAAAGCAGTGTGCAAATGTTCAAGAAGCTAATTATCACAATAACACCCATCTAACTTGTGCGAACAAATTAAATGACGTATTTGTTTTCAACTTGCTACGTACAATAACAAAGACAGTTAAAACTTTATGGCTTAGTCGCCACAACGAAGTTGTCAGTTCTCGCGAGAAATGGCATAGCTACGAAGATACGAGGACGTTGTTCCTTCATGTTGCCACAACAAGGCTTTAAAGAGAGACTTTATTTATTTCACTTTTTAGGCTTAATAAACATTGCATGTTCAAATTCAGTGACCTACCATCAGAGAGAAGGATGAGAAAAAAGAAACCACTGTGAAGACTCTACTTGCACCCATTTTCAAATCCTCCTCATTAACTTGACTCATAAATGTGTAATAGTAGGCCCTAAATTATCTCAATTACCAACTGCAAATGATGACTTTAATGAGTGCTGTTTATTATTTCAACAACAAGGTTCATTAAATTTATAATTACGTTCCCAAGTAGCCTTTTTACATTTATAGTTTTGTAAAACTGTTGCCCCTATAGTGACAGTTATTAAAATTTTGCAAGAGGAAACAGAGACAGGATATGACTAACTTTTGGCCAATCTGTTGTTGATTTGCTGCTTTAATTAACATTATAAAAAGAGCCAAAGATCTAGATCCCTGTTGCTATGTCAATGAGCGATCACCTGCATTTCCTATGAGATATGTTATGTGTTTTTGATGTAGCATTTGAAAGTCATCAGCACACTGAAACCATGTGTGGAGTCCTCAGCAGACCAGACAAAGTGGCATAAAAAAAAAAAAGAAGTAAAAAAATCATTCATGAGAGTGAACATGGTTTGTTTTATGGCTCTCATGTATAAATGGGCAATAAATAAATTGTCTTGGACAAATTACCATCTAAGAGGCTATGAATTTTTTCAATCCTTCCCCCATGAGAGTCTTTAGACCAAAATCCCCCTCCTCCCTTATTGAACTGCATCAGTTGCACAGTGGCACTTCCCAAAGCAATTTAATGTAATTGCAACAGCTTGCCATCCCCATTGGATGGCAGTGAATCATCTTGTTAGCTCACCCCCCCCCCACCAGCCTCCTGGCCTTAGTAGCAGAGTGATGGCGGTTGGGGGTAGGGAGGGCACTCAGCTGCCCCGCCAACCAGGCATCTGACACTGCTGCCTGCTGCCAGACTAATATCGGACACACACACACACACACACACACACACACACACACACACACACACACACACACACTTCGGCACAATCAATATACTCATATATAAAACACACATTACATTCAGTCATACACTAATGGAAAAATTTACTCAGCAACACAAACAATTAACCTAAATTATGTATACATAATTCATGAACAGCATGTATGAATCATATGTACACAAAACCACCTGCAAAATGATTATTAAACTATGATCTGTGATTGGCAGAGAGCTCCAACAGCATGTTGTAAACAAGACAACATGAGGGAAACTTGTTTTGATTGTCCACGAGGGCCACACCAACATGTTACGGTTCAACTGTGGAGAGAAAGGTAAGATTGTGGTTGCCTCTGTGTTTGGGGCTCACTCTGGACAAACACCTGTTAATCTGGAAGCATTCTTTGTAATTACACAGTGCATGCATTCTGTGCATTATGTTCACAGTACATTGTGCATTGTGTTCATGGCACACTCTGTGAAGATAGTGGACTATTCATTACAATTATGTGCCCTGCTCCAGCTCCGCTCCCTTTCATCTCTTTAAATCTCACACCTATAATTTACTTGTTTCTTTAATTCTTCACATGTGTTTTACTGAACAATGAACATTTGTGATTGAGTTTTGCTGTAGGCCTAAAATGCCAAACTCCTCAGTTTAATGCTCCAATTCTTAGGATTAGATAAATTGATCCTTTCCTGATCTTTATCTTATCTTATTCCTCTGTAATAAATAATAAGTCTGGTAAAGCACTCATGTAGAAAATGCAAGTGTTCAAGCCTAATATATGTAGGCGAACATACAGTATGACTGAGACTGAGCCTTACATGTTGGCTCCGTAGTGGTGTCTCCTACAGTTTCTGAAGAACTGTATAAATATCTTGTGAGTGTATAGGGAGCCAGTCTTTTATTCAGAAAAATCCAGGTGTAAGTCTTGTGTTGACACAAGACAATTAATCTGTTCCAGTCTCCTTTTTGTTAATGTTGTGCTCAGATATTACTTTGAAAAGAAGGAAAGAGTACAAAAAATGGTTGCGTTGTATTGACGCTTTATTAAATAAGAACAGATGAGCTGATTTAACTACACAACAATGGATACTATGATAATAGAGATAATTGCATGATAACACTGATGCTGTGGTTATGTAGGAACTGCAACTTTGTAATCATTTCAGTATATGGCCTTAGAGAGCAATAGAGGGTGTTGCCAAAAAGTAATTTGTTGGATAACAAAGATTAAGATGCATATCATGGGGAAGACATTAGGAATGCTGGGTACAACTGGGTACAACTGATATTGACTAGTAGTAATACTTAACTACTTAACTTAACTGTAGTAATAATACCAGTTATAAAGCCAAAAAATTATGCATCCACCAATTTGGAATGAATAGAAAATGCTCATGCATATTATAAACAAGAACATAGTTGAGTAAAACATTAGTTAAACTACGAACAAGGCTATAAATAAGATCAAAAAAGATTTGATTGGGCTTTTTCATCTGTATTCAACTTGTAAGTAAAATGTGAAATCTGCCAGACCATTACATTTGCTTGGTGCGAATGCCATCTGGTGGTTATTCTCTTCTAACCTGTTGGTATGGTCTTATTTCTTTGTCTTGGGATAATTTTGTAGTTTCTTACTTGTTGTGTGACATATGATGCAATAAGATACAACAGTGCCCTGATGGATTATTACCAGTAAACTATATGCTTGGTAGCCTATTCATTACCATGTGGATTTTCCACAAAAAAACAAAAAATTAAACTGGCCAGTGGTGGAATATAACAAAGTACATTTACTCAAGTACATTTTTGGAGGTAGCTACTTGAGTGTTTCCATTTTATGTAATTTTTACTTCAAATTCATTATATTATTATTAAAATATTATTCCAGAGGAAAATTCTTTTTACTCTAGAGGATTATCTCCATATTGTCTCAATATCTTGCTGAGTATATGACAATTAAAAATTACACTACCGTAATTATCTTTATAATGCTAAACATCTATTACTAAAATTTAATGCGTCTCCTTATAATTCCATGATATATCTTACTTTAAACATTTGATGTTTGACTGTTAGAATAGTCGTACTCCTCTTTTTAAAAAAACTGAATAATTAGCAAATCTTTCCAAAATGATAAGCTTATACCGATAGTTAGCCTTCTATTGTAATATCATAAATCTAAGACCATTCACACATAAAACACCAAAGCAAAAGTAATCGGTATTTTTAAAAAATCCAATGCATTAATAAACATTTCTCCAAATGTAGGTTTACTGTACTTTTACACTGTGTAAAAATAATTCGTTTAAAAATATTAACTGTATATAGAAGTAGGATGAGATTTGTCTGCATATTTCTGTAAAATCACTGTGAAATAGTGAAATTTTGATGCAGTTGCGTTTGTAAATGCAACGTGCTTCCATATTGTTCCTTGTGTCGTGAGAAGTACAAACTTTTGTGTTGTGAATTTGTGTCCTCAGCACTTTCTGTAGAGAAGCACCTGACCGCGAGCAGCCGGCTGGGGGCGGAGTTGGACGTGCAGTTCCGTCCTGGACCTTCAGCTTGAGTTGTAGTTCCACGAAGCGCACACCAGAGTGGTGGGGTGAAGGTTGGTTGTGCGTAATATCAATACAATACCAAAGCCTTTTAATCCAGCAATATTAAACCAAATTTGATAGGTGAATAAACGAGTCGACGCTGTAATGCACTGTAACGCTGCTCGTCAACTCTTAAACGAGTTTGTTAGCTTGTTGAAATGCTAGGTAGCCATTAGCTAACTTAGCTAGTAAAGTTAGCTGTTGTCAAAATGATGCTCCTAGCAAGTTAGAGGACGTTAGCGTCCGGTGAAAAAAGCAAGACGTTTATTTCGTATCTCGATAAAAGGGAACGTGAGCATGGAGCTGACCTGAATTTAGTCACTTAAATAATCATACATCATACATCTTTAGCTAGCTATATGTTTAACTAGCTGTGTTATTCTGTAAGACTCCTGGTAAACACCAGAGGGCCTGTGTTGTGTTGTGTTAGATGTCTTTTGTTTGGCTGTGTTCCTGTAGTTCAAGCCTGGATGTTGTTTACAGCCTATGTAAACCATGCCAGCCCCTGCCAGACTGTATCAGCTGTCACTCTCGCATTGCCTTATCTCCCTTTCAGAGTAAATAAGGTCAACGTCTTAAAACAGCTGAATCAACTGGCAGAAGGCATTTTTCCTTTGACCATCATCATCATCATCATCATCATCATCATCATCATCACTTCCATCACCACCATCTCCGGGACATCTTCATTGAATAGGAGTGGGGTTGTCTCAGCTCCCCCTTTTCCTCATTAGGTCACTGCTGCAACTTGGGTGAGATTTAATACATACTGTAATTGAATAATAGCTTTTTGTCTGTCTGTTACTTGTGGCTATAAGCATTAAGTTATCTGACAATCAGAAGGGAATTTTGAAGGATTCTGGTGTTTTCTTTGAGTAATTATGCAGGGAAAGTAAGTGGAACATTGTCAACAGCCTTGAATTTAAATATTAAGGACCTAATGGGCAATTTAATGTTATTGTGTTTGATCTACATTATGTTCTTGAGTGTACTTTCTCCATGGCTCTGGACAAGGTTCATATAGCAATGTGATGTAAAGCGTACTGTATCAGTTGCTCCTGTATGATGTTTTGATGTACAACTCCTATGCACTTGTACATACCTCTAGAACCACAGGGAACATTGCAGGCTGTTCCATTGTGTATTCTGAAAAACAG